CCTAAACACCAAAACCGCCGTAGACTACAGAACTCTATTCCAAAGCCATGATGATGACCCTGGCGATAATCGTCATAACAGCAACGAGGATAGATTAAAAAAACAAACAAAAAGATGAGGATCCTGCAATGCGGTGGACTGCAGCTACCGTGAAACAGAGAGACGATCAGGAAGCCTTTAGATCCCGCATTGTGTACAAAGCAAGATCTGCGTCCTAAAGCCCCAAACCTCCTACCTCAAGGCCCTGTGCCCAAAACCCGCTATGCATCCTCACCCCAACCCAAGCTTATGCGCCAAAACCCTAGCTCAAAATCCCTAATCCGAACGCTTAAAACCCGAATCCCTAGAATCGCACTTCTTGGAACCTTAAACAATCTCTACATGAAGAGTCATAGGTAATTCGAACACTATTTTTGAGCCCTGGATATAGGTTCCGAATTTGAACCCAACTTGAAACTATTCCTCAACCCTAAACCCTACACCCCTAGCCCATAAACCCTGAACCTTCACTCCAAAACCCTAGATCCGGAATCCTGACCCCTGAACCCTAGATCCGGGAATCTATACCCCAAAAATCCTAAACCCCTAACCTAAACCCCAAACCCTAAACCATGAACCCTGAACCTTAAACCCCAGACCCTATATCCCAAAATCCCTTCTCGAGGCCAGGGAAGGGGACAACCTCAACGTCTCGCGCAGGGGAGCCTCCAGGTTGACGTATAAGGATGGAACCATGAACCCATAGTCTGGGTTTGGGTTTAGGGTGGAGGGGTTTCGGGTTAAGGGCTTACGGCTCAGGGTTAGGGTCTAAGGCTAAGGCTGGAACCATGAGCCCGAGTATGGGCCCCTAATCCTGGGCGCCTGACCTACCCATCATACATCCTATAAAGGCCCATAGTTTGGACCCAGGAAGTGGCCCAAATTACGGCCCATGGTTAAGCTTGTAGATTAAGCTCAAGGCTGTGCGGTTTAGGGATTTAAGGCTCAAGGTTTCAAGGTTTGGGGCTGAGGGATAGGAATTAAGTTATTTTTTCAGGTATGTCAATTTGGGGGGCTTAAGGTTCAGAAGAGGGATGGGGATGTGAGACTTGGGTCTGCACGTTAGGGTTTAAGCATGTGGGACTAAGGGCTTGGAGTTCGGATGGAGCTTGAGCTTCCAAATTAGGGTTCACTCGACGAATGATGACAATGAGCGTTAATCAGGATCTGCTTCGTGCAGAGGTTTTGGAGGGTGTGAACTTGACACGAGGAGTAGGGTGCAAAAGAGACAAAGCGATAGGGCTTTGATATTTTGGAGGCTGAACGCGATCGTCAGGCATAGTAGAAATACTTGGTCACGACTTGGCTTTTGAGGTTTTGTCTACGTAAAACACTACAGTTTGCTAGTGGTATCGAGAGCAGCACTACAGCAATTTGCCTGGTGACAACTTAGGGTTTTCCCTAGCCAGAAGCCAAACCCCTACCTTACACGCCTGTAAACCACTACATAATCCCGGCCTGCATTAATGTTGCATCATTACCCTAGTCACCCTAGTCCTTGAATCCTATCCTGAATCCTATATATATAACCTAAACATTTCCTATATATCATTACGTATCCATACATATTCCTGTATGTCCCGGTCTCCTTTAACCAAGACAAATGCAGGTCCCCAAATTCAAAACTCAAACCCTAAACCCGGCCTAAACCCCCAAACCCGAAAACCCTAAACCGTAAACCCCAAACCATAAATCCCCAACCCTAAACCACCAACCCTAAACTCACCTCCATTGGCAACCGAATCGGATGCAGGTTGATAGCAGTGCAGTTGTCCGTTAAGCTATGTGATGTAACCACGCACGCAGCTAACTTTTCACAGAGGGCTTGAGCATCGTACAGCAGTGAGTCACTGCGCAGTGCAAAAGTATTTAAATGCATGATGCAGAAATGCGCAAACTATACCTTCGATCCTGAACCCTAGCAATGCTATGATGCATTCAGGACACCGCTAAGCAGAGGATCACAAGCCCTATACTCTAAACCCGAAATCCTAAAACATGAACCTCAAACCCTAACCTCCAAAGCCTGCAGTCAACCCTACACCCTGAATCCGAATCCTAAACCCCAAACGCTACCCTCTCCCAAAGTATTATGGAACCCTACTTCATAAGGTACTTTTTCAGGTTGCATGCTACTTTGGGGAAAATCTTTCTAGGATCCTCTAAGACACCTTACGAACCCCGGAACCTACAGCAAACTAAACCCTAAATCCCAGACATTAAACCCTATAACGTATCCCTCTAGCGTCCCAGAATACCCGTGTCTCCCCTTGAACGGGACCCTAAACCCCAAACCCTGATCACTAAACTCAAAGCCTTTTCCGTTCTGAGACCCTGCGAAACAAAGCCTGCAGTGCCCCCCCGACGTAGCCGAGCTTTTTCAAGCTCAGGCCTCTAGGATTTGGGGTTTGGGGTTTGGGCTTGGGCTTTTGGGGGATCTGAATTACTTTTGGGATAAAAGCGTTTGGGGTTTGATGCTTAGGGTTTAGGTATAAAGGGATTAAGGCCTTAGGGTTTCGGACTGAAGAGATGAAGGCATTCAGGGCTTGGCGTCTACCCCCCTAAGCCCTGAACCCTAAACCCTAAGCCCTAAACCTTGGGTACTGCCCCCACCCAGGAACAGTCTGTATTAGGGGTCCTATTAAGGGCTATATATAGCCATTTTATAATTACTATCCAACTGTTACTGAAACCCCCCTAACCCTAAACCCTAAACCCCCCTAACCCTAAACCCTAAACCCGAAGGCTTTCGGGATTGGTTGCTGGTTTGGGGTTTGCTTTTGGTGCTCGGGAGCTTACCTTGCTGGCCTTTAAAGTTTAAGGTTTAAGGTTAGGGTTTAGGGTTTAGGGTTTGGGGTTTAGGGTTAAGGGTTTAGGGATGAGCTATAGTCTAAACTCCTGAAAGGGGGTTATATAAGGACTTGAGGGTGTAGAGGAGCTGGAGTCTAAACTCCTTAAAGGGGGTTTAGGGTTTAAGGGTTATACAAGGAACTATATAGGGGACTAGTATAGGGATCATTAAGGGGGATGCTAGGAGTTTAGACTATAGCTCATATGGGTTTATAGTTTCGAGCCGGGCCTAGAAGCATGCTTGAATCCGCCCTTGTACAACTATGTACTCATGTTTTGCATCTTCCTTGTAGTTTAGAGCTCACAGCTTAGGGTTTAGGAGTTCAGGGTTTAGGGTTAGTATTGGGGGTTGGAAGTTTAATGTTTAGGATTCAGGGCGCAGGGTTTAAGTTTAGGGCCTTAAGGGTTTGGGGTTTGATGATCATGTTTAGTCTTTGCGGACCCCTGAACCCTGAACCAGTTGAGTGTTCAGGGTTTGGGGCAGGTGGCCCCTTATAAATGAGCTCACAACACGACTTATTGAGGTATGGCTACCCCTACACCCTAAACCCAGTTGCAAGTAGGTACTACGGCCCATGGACCTTCAAGTATGGCTTATGGAGGAAGGCTGCATCTTCAGGGTTGAGGACACGGAGTCTAGGGTTTAGGGTGTAGAGTTTAAGGGTTTAGGGTTCAGGGTTTCAAGTTTAAGGCTTTAGGGTATAAGGTTTTTTTTTTTGGCGGACCATGTCTCCGAAGCCCGAAGTTCAACGAAGATGCCTTACGGCACGGTCCAGATTTGCAGCAGAACCCTACCCCATTCAGAGCAACCAGTGGGACAAGCGCGTTTGCCTGGGCCCCCTTTCACTACTTTCAGCACTCACTGCCGCTTCAGTAGGGCTCGTTCCCGGCACAGATCCCGAGCTCGGAGCACCGCCGCCAGCGCCAGCATTGTCCACAACCCCAGACTCGTTCTCTTCCACGCCACTCGCTTCCAGCCCTGGACCCTCTCCCAACACGGCACTACTTGCTTCCTCCCCTCCGAGGCCCTGGTCATTCTGATGGCCGGTCACCGTCTCGAACACGCCGCTCTCCCAGTCCCTGCGCCCGTAGAAACTGCCAAGGATGCTGTAGCCATACGTCCGTCCCACCAAGCCGTCAGTGATGGCACCACGTAGCCACGCCAGGTATATGCGCTCAGCGTCCTCGCGCTTGCCGAAGGCCTCCACAGCAAGCTCCGGCCCTCTGGACATGTCAGTCTCCGGCCACATCTCCGGCGCCTCTAGTCCTGTCACGGGCATGGTGCTGCCCGCACGCTCGTCCATCACTTCCTGCTCCCCAGTCTCTGGCGGGGCTTCTTCCACAGGACCATCCACTTGTGTCGGCCCCACGTCCCCAGAGAAGCCGGCCGTGTCGTCGACGACACCTTCTTCATGCTCCTGCTCATCCGTCTTGCAGACCTTGACGCTGTATGCCAAGTATTCTCCATCCCGCACTCCGACCAGCCAGTTCTCGCATTTGACTATCCTGCCTCCTTCCCCCTGAACCAGTACCTGCACCCTGGCCCGTTTGACTCCAGGTCCAGCTCTTTCTTGCCTGGCTGCCCAGTCCTCCCATTGCCTCAGGTCTTGGCTGGTGAACTCTTCCTGGAGGCGTTCTTCTTCCTCACGTAGCAGCTCGGCCGCGTACTCCTCGATGGCTTCGTTCTGCACGATCGTGTCCATCTCCTCTTCCGTGAGTTCGCGCAAGCTTCCATCCTCGGCCTTGACTACCTGCTTGTTGCTGCCGTTTTCCATGTTGCGATCCTGGCTGTCGATCACCTCGATGGGTTCCATGTGAGATGAGCTGGGCCTCGCCGTCGCATTGGTGTCCGCCCCGTCCTTTCCCCCCTCCAAGTACGGCACCAGCTCCTGCCACTGCTTCAGGCACCAGTCCTGTTCATCGCCCCTGAGCTGCTCTTCCTGTTCCAGAAACACGGACACGAGGGCCTGGAGGCTCTCAACTCTGCTGAGGATCACCGGGTGCCGGAGATGTGGAGCACGTCTTTGCTGATCTCGCAGCATCTGCTTCAGGAAGTAGGCCAGTCGCGCCGCTTTGGCTCTGGGCATGCCATCCAACTGTTGCAAAAGCTCCTAAACCCTAATCTCGAACTTGCCGGCCGCACCCTTTTGCATGAAGCTGGCAACCTCCGTGTCTTGGCACTCAGTTTCCTGGCCTTGATCCCAGCTTCCCTTCTCTCGCACGTAGTTAGCGGTCTGCATCAGCTGGATGTCGTCCATTTCCTCCACATCCATGCCCGCTTCCAGCTCTGGCTCGTCCCCCTCTTCCCTCAGGTCCGTGCCCTCCCCAATCAGGACCTCGCCCTCGGTGTTGACCTCATCAAAGGGCGCCACGTAGCCCACGGTGCTGGCAATCGCCCCTTCTCTGGTCCTCTTTGTTCTTCGCTCTTCCTGGCTCAGCCCTTCCATGCCCGGCTCTGAACTGGAACCCCTCTGCTCTGCCGTGCTCTGAAGCGGTCTGTCCTGGTACTTGGCGCAGTCTTTCTGCGTGTTGAGCGCCTGCGAGTCATCTTCGATGGCCTTCGTCACCTTGAGAACGTGGTCCCCCCATTTATCCCTCACTTCCTCGTCCTTGACCCTTCCCTCCAACCAGCCACAGTACACCTCTTTGCCCTCAGCGGTGTGCAGGAAGTTGTCCAGGTCCGTCTCCTCATTCTCCGCACCCTTCACCTGCAGGAGCTGTTTCTCGATTTGGGTGGACGTCATCTGCACTGTAGAGGGCGTTGATGGCGCCGCCAGCGATCCCTGCCCCGGTTTGCTGCCTGAGCTGAGGCTTTCTTCAATGGAGAACGTGAGCATGACCCTGTCTGTCTCCGCGATGTCGCCTTCCAACGTCTGCTCTGCGAGCGTGTCACCTCGGGTCGTGCCCATGACCACCCTGGCTCGAACTCGCTTGGTGGGAGGCGGCCGCGGGCTGGGTTGCAACTCTGTGTGCATAACCCAGTCTTCCCACTCTTGAGCTCGTGCAGCCTCGAAGCGGGCGAATGCCTCCACCCCGTGTTGGCTCTCCTCTTCTTCTCTGAGTTGCCGGTCATGCCTTCTCAGTTCTTCAGCTTCCTCCTTGGTTGCAGGCGCCCACTCTTCCTCCAGCTCACGCTTGACCAGGATGCCTTCCCGCTCATCCTCGCTGTCCAGCGCTCCCGCAGCGTCTCCCGACCCTGAGGCCCTTTCCACCTGTCTACCATTGCCACGATCAACCTGTGCAATGAACGGACACAGCTTGCTCCAAGTCGGCTGCACATCCGGGGGCGGGGCACTCTCCATGGCCTGTTCGATTCCCTCGTATGCAACCAAGAGGGCCCTCATTCTGTCCCTGCGGTCCTTGGTTCTCCTGGCCGTCAGGTCGTCTCCCTCCATGCCTTCCAGGTCGTTGAGCTTGTTGCCTACTGCCTTCGCCAGGGTCGCCGCCCGGGTCTTGTCCATGCCCTCCATGTCCTGTTGCAGCTCCACCAGCAACCTGGCGAAGTTACCTGGCCCAACTTCCAAGTTCCTCTGCATCAGCTGCGTGACATCGCTCTGCGGGGGTGCCAGCCAGCTCTGCAGAAGCACTACCCGTTCCCCGGTTTCTGCGTCGTTGATGATCTTGAGAAGCTCTGCTATGAAGAGGCCCACGAAGGCAAGGAGAGAAGTAGTAACCCTGGACCTGTCATCATCAGAAAGCCCCTGTAGGTTTGCTATCAACGTCCTCGTGGTTTCGGGGCCCAGCAGGCTTTGGCCTTCGGAGTCGTTGAAAGAGTCCGTAAGACCCGTGAGATTGCTCCACCATCTCACGTTCGGGTCAAACTCCTCCAGGCCCGGCACTGCTGGGCTTCGCGAGCTCATTGCCCTTTCTCCAGTGCACTCTTCACCTTCTCCTTCCCGATCACCCCTCGCCCTTGTCCCTTCATTCCTCTTCCACGGCGCCCTGGGGAATGTCCGCGTCGAGCTTGTAGCCACCACGGTGGGCGCCCTCGACGGTCTGCTGCTCTCCCTTCGCAGCCATCTTGCTCGGTTGGTTTCCCTTTGCCGCCTTTCCTCTTCCGTTGGTGCCGGCCTGCTGCTTCTTCTTCTCCTGGGTGACGGCGATCTTCCTCTTTTTCTCCTCTGCATGAGGCATGTGACGTCAGCTCCTCCTTCTGAGTCGGGGTGTGCTTGGTCTCCTCCTCCATTAGCTGCTCCAGGATGAGAGCTTCCACTGGTGCAGGTACCAGCCTCGATGTCCGGCACAGTGGGGATTTCTCTCCGTCGGCGACTTGGCCCCGGTCCGTCTTGGTTGGCGCAGCAGACCCCAGTCATCCCTTCATCTTCCTGTTCTGGGTTGCCGTTCGCCTCCGTCGCCACATGCCCACATACTCCACGATCAGCTCCTCGATTGCCGTTTAGGGTTTAGGGTTTAGGGCTTAGGGTTTGGAGTGGGTTGAGGGTGGAGGGCTCCATGGCTCTATCTGCCTACGCCTGGACCCAAGAACCTAACTCCCTAAATTCAGGAGTTTAGAAGGGCTATATAGGGATATATGGGGGTTAGGGTTTAGGGGTTTCCCAAAATTAGGGGTTCCTAGGTAGGGGTCCCTACAATAAGGATTGTAATATTTCGAGGTCTCGATTGAAGTCCCTTATTTTGGCAAACTACCAAAATCCCTATACCTAGTCGTGTTGTACGGAGCTGTGCGCGTTTGCTGCCTTACCCTATACAACTGCTAATTCCTTCTGGTCTTGAGGGTTTAGGTTTTCGGGCTTGAGGCATTCCAGCTGAAGGTGTCGGATCAAACGGGGGCCTGAATTCGTGGAACGGTGTCTTGGGGGTTAGGTATGCTTTAAGCACAATGATGAGAAGGGTTTAGGTCTAGGGTTTAGAAATATCCTGGATCATCCCAGCTTTTACACTATTGCGCTCAGGGTTCACCTTTCACAGCTAGAAAGGTATATTCAGAAGAAGTTTGTAGTAGTTGCTGTAAGGTTAAATACGTGCATTAAAATATCTCTGAACCTAAAACCTAAACCCTGAATCCTAAGCCCTAAACCCCAAACCTTATCTGCCTAGGACTTAGGATTTAGGATCTAAGGTCAGTTCAAAGTGGATATGGGCCCTTGGCTCAAATTATCTCAAAATCAGAAGGCCTTGAGAGCCCTAGGAAGATTGCAACAGGATTTAGGGAAGGGTTTAGGGCCCAAAGGTCACGACTTGCAGATTTTCAACCATGATGTTGCCTATTTTTCTGGGTCCAAGTATTGAGAATGGTCTTGGGCCTGTTCTGAACGTGAAATCCTACAGCCTAAACCCCTAGACCTTAAGACCCTCAGCCCTAGACAGTATTTTAGAAAAACTGAGAGATTTTTTCTCCAAACTTTCAAGCGTCGGGCTTCAGGTGCTTCGTAAAAGATAAATAGTTTAGGGTTTAGGGCTTAAAGTCTTTGGACGTTGAACCAAACCCCTTGCAAGAGAGCTTATAAAGGTGTAAAGCATCAATTGTAAAGAATACTTTACCAAAAAGAAATCACAAGGAAAGTATGACATTGCCCCTAAACCCTAAACCCTAAACCCTAAACCCCTACACCCCTAACTCTTAAACCCTAAAACCCTAGCTCTGAACCCTGCGAAATAAACCATCAACCTTAAACCCTGAACTCAACTGATCTAAACCCTACTACGGGGGCCTAAATAATTCGCCGAGGCATCCACGTTCAGATCCCTTTCAAAACCCCCTCTACTCCCCCTTGCAGACCTCAGCCTGGGCCCCCCCGCCATGGTGGGTGGCCTAGTCCAGCCTGACCATCCCGCGTGAAATTTCAGCCTCGCTGCTTTGGCGGTACGCGGCGGGCGCATTTTTCGTTCAAAACATGTTTGGGTTTGGTTTTTTGGGGCTTTCCGCAGGCCCCAGGGCCCCCTGGAGCTGGAGCCCCCTGGATTGCCCTGGAGGCCCCTGGAGGCCCCTGGAGGCTCCTGGAGGCCCTCTAGACGGCCTGGAAGCGACTGGAAAACCCGACATGCATCGTATGGCTTACAATATATACAATGATGGGTTTCGCGTTTTGGGTACACGTAATTGGGATTTGCGGTGGATTATGACAAGAGCACTTTTGCGAGATACGAGGAGTTTTAGCTACCGTTCTGTGGCTAGACCCCAATATGCATTTAGA